CTGACTTACCATAGCTCCACATTATGTATGTTCTCCTGACTTACCATAGCTCCACATTATGTATGTTCTCCTGACTTACCATAGCTCCACATTATGTATGTTCTTCTGACTTACCATAGCTCCACACAATGTATGTTCTTCTGACTTACCATAGCTCCACATGATGTACTGTATGTTCTCCTGACTTACCATAGCTCCACACGATGTATGTTCTCCTGACTTACCATAGCTCCACATTATGTATGTTCTCCTGACTTACCATAGCTCCACATTATGTATGTTCTTCTGACTTACCATATCTCCACACGATGTATGTTCTCCTGACTTACCATAGCTCCACATTATGTATGTTCTTCTGACTTACCATAGCTCCACACAATGTATGTTCTTCTGACTTACCATAGCTCCACATTATGTATGTTCTTCTGACTTACCATAGCTCCACATTATGTATGTTCTCCTGACTTACCATAGCTCCACATTATGTATGTTCTCCTGACTTACCATAGCTCCACATTATGTATGTTCTCCTGACTTACCATAGCTCCACATGATGTATGTTCTTCTGACTTACCATAGCTCCACACGATGTATGTTCTTCTGACTTACCATAGCTCCACACGATGTATGTTCTTCTGACTTACCATAGCTCCACATGATGTATGTTCTCCTGACTTACCATAGCTCCACATTATGTATGTTCTCCTGACTTACCATAGCTCCACACGATGTATGTTCTTCTGACTTACCATAGCTCCACATGATGTATGTTCTCCTGACTTACCATATCTCCACACGATGTATGTTCTTCTGACTTACCATAGCTCCACATTATGTATGTTCTTCTGACTTACCATAGCTCCACACGATGTATGTTCTTCTGACTTACCATAGCTCCACATGATGTACTGTATGTTCTCCTGACTTACCATATCTCCACACGATGTATGTTCTTCTGATTTACCATAGTTCCACACCATGTAAGTTCTCCTGACTTACCATAGCTCCACATGATGTACTGTATACATCTACATTTACGTCATTTAGCAGACGCTCTTATCCAGAGCGACTTACAAATTGGTGCATTCACCTTATGATAGCCAGTGGGACAACCACTTTACCATTTTTTAATTCTCCTGACTATGTATGTATGTTCTCCTGACTTACCATAGCTCCACACGTCACTTTGATGTGTATATGTCCGGTGGAGGATGGACTCCAGTGCCATCCATTTGATTGGTACCTGCAGAGAAAGGGTTCTCATGACTTAGGGCTCACTGTGCAAGACAAACCTGAGGTAGTTCTTCCAGATGGCTAATACAACATTAGGTATGTAGGTAAAGTATTGCATCTGTGTTATGGACAGATTATCATAGGTTGGGTAAGGGATGGAGATAATGACAACAACATAGATTATCACTATCATACTATCATACTATCATACTATCATACTATCATACTATCATAGTCAAAAGGGGATTATAATATCATATTTACGCTACAAAAAATGTGTTTCTTGTGTTACATTACTTCACAGTAATTCAATTAAAATCAAACTATTTTCTTTACAGTAATGACAAGAATGAGGAGATTGGGCAGACCTTTCCTCCTTCTGCGTGGTACTCCTTCTCGTCAGCATTGAGGAGTTTGGCCAGGCCGAAGTCAGTGATCTTGACATGCTGAGGGGTCTTCACCAGGACGTTCCTCGCTGCCAGGTCACGATGCACCAGGTGATGCTCCTCCAGGTAGCTCATCCCCTGGGATCAACCACAGGTGAAAGGTCAAATGAGGAGGTAGAAGTCTACGTCCATACATGGGGCCTGTTCGATTACTACTGAAAATTAAGGAAGCATTCTAACAGTATTCACATTTTTGAATGACTCGTTGTTTGATTAGGTTTTAAAGAGGTCAACAAGAGGTCAAATGAGGTTTGAACTGTAGGGGTCTATAGGAGTCTATACATGGCCATACCAGACGTTCCCCTGAATCCTGTTTGATTAAATACCATACACTGTGACTCATGGGTAGTCAGAAATGAGGGTCAGGAAAACTCAGGGCCTCATCATAGTCTGGGTGCCATTCATCAGTAAGTTGGATGTGTCCTTAGGAGTGGGAGTTGTCAAGTTCCATTAGTGTTCGAGCAGTTTGAAAGGGAAAAGGAGGATGAGGAAGTACGTGAAAATGACTTCAACCAGGAGGTGAACCCAGCATTTTGTGGTTTGAAATTCCAAATGTAACCGTAACAGGAGTAAATAAGAACACATATTTTCACAAACTCACACCCTTTCATACATTTTATTTTGGTTAGTTGGAAAATGAAAACTGCGTCTTGGAAAATCACTGCAATTAAAAAAACACTTTCCGGTCGATGACTGTTTAAATGCAACTTAGTCTTACCTTGGCTATCTGTACACACCAGTTGAGGAGGTACTGGGATCCTATGTTGTCCTTGTTCTCCTTGACATAGTCCAGCAGACAGCCGTAGGGCATGAGCTGGGTGACCAGCTGGACTGTGGAGGTCAGGCAGATGCCCAGTAGACGACAAACATGGGGGTGGTCCACACTGGCCATCACATAGGCCTCCTACAGTCAGATAGATACAGTACCAACATTTACTACAGGCCAAGAAGGAGGGCATCACTACTCTGCTCCACACTAGTAATCACATTATAGGCTTTCTACAAAACACACAAACAGTGCAGTACAGTACAGTATACAGTACACAGTACAGTATAGTATACAGTGCAGTACAGTGCAGTACAGTACAGTATACAGTACAGTATACAGTACAGTATACAGTGCAGTACAGTGCAGTACAGTACAGTATACAGTACACAGTACAGTATAGTATACAGTGCAGTACAGTGCAGTACAGTACAGTGCAGTACAGTACAGTATACAGTACAGTATACAGTACAGTATACAGTACAGTACAGTGCAGTACACAGCATTTAGGGCTAGGGATGGTGGCATCATTCAACTGTGAGTTCATAAAACCCACATCCAGTAGTGATATCTAAACACAACATGAGCATTTCATAACAACTCACAGCTTAAAAGACATTGACACTGATCAGAAAAATATGTCAAAACAGTGAATACTTTAAAGAGAGCTCTTGACCTTATGACAAGAGGTCAAGCGCAACATCACTGCAAAACCTCAGCTGTCCACGCGCTCCATGAAGTCTGACACTGAATATTCACATGACTGTGTCAGACCTGGGTTCAAAAAGCATTTTCAATCATACAAATACTTAAGAGCGTTTACGTGAGCCTGGCTGGAGTGCCAGGTGGGTGGAGTTTGAGCTTTTGGGAATATTATATTGGTTCAACAATGCCAGGAAAGCTAAATCAAGCCCAGCCAAAGTATTTGAAAGATTTCCAATACTATTTGAACCCAGGTCTGGATTGTGTTTTTTAACTGTGGTTACTGGAAGAGATTCTAAATTCCTTTCCAGAACACCTTAACCTTGAATTAGTATCCTCCTCCCACGCCCAACCCTGGACCAAAGCTTCTCAATGAGTTAATCCCATTTCCTACGCCCCCATCAAGAGTTCGCTGACTAGAAACCTGACACCATTTTCAAGCTAAATGTTGTCATTATTTCAGCTTCTTCCTAAATGGAAGAGCATGTGCTTGGAATTAGACTATTAGAGGAAACGTGACACCTAAATTGGCCAGTAACATGCAATAATACTGAGTGTATTATGCCGCTAAATTAGGTCAAAATACTAATTTGTCAAAGAATTGTTTAGTTTGAAAGTACATGTACAGTATGGTATGGATAACCATCAATGACAGTATGATACCATACTGTGCCTAACAGCACTAACTTAGACTGTATAATACCATACTGTGCCTAATAGCACTAACTTAGATTCTACTGTAAATTAGATATAGAATGTCTTTATATTTGGAAGATAACAGTTTCTAACTCCCATGAACAAACATCTTAGAGTGAAGTGATATAGAGTGATATAACTCACGTCCAAGATCTCCTTGTTGGCTTTAGGTGATGTGGCTTCTCTTAAAACCTTGATGGCCACAGGGATCTTCACATCCTCTCCTTCAGGGACCCACAGACCCTGGACAGGACAGATAGTAGGGTTTTTTAACAGGCTAACATGAGATATATGTGTCAGTGTGTGTACTTTGAACATTTCTTGAAATATTTTATTGTTACAGTAGAATGTGGGAATGGTAAAATAACTAATAATGACAGGAGGGTGAGAGTGGATTGATGCATGATGTGGTGTGTTAAATATGTGGCTGTTAATTGAAAAACTGACAACAGATGTAGATGTGTCTAAAGGTGTTGGTTTATATTCAGTCTGAACACACATTCCCCATAAGTTCCTTAAGTACAGTACCACAGTACAATCCATGAAACTGGAGTTCCAGAATGAAACCTAGAAAACGTGAGCATTTGTATTTACCTTGTAGACAGTGCCGAAGGCCCCTGATCCCAACACTTTGATCTTCTTAAACTCGGTCTCCTTCAGAATACGGAGCAGAGCCTGGTTGGGCGCCTCACCACTGGGAGTCAGCGGTTCAACTAACTGTAGATGCGGATAAGGATTGTTTACTTTCGGTTCACTTTGATGCACTATCTCAGGTGATTGAATTCCAGCCCTAGAAAGCCCTTGAGACTCAGCAGTTCAGTTTCTGCCTCTCACCTCTCTCTCCTGGAGGAGTCTTCGCAGGGTCCTCTTCTTCTTGATGTGGCGTCGTCGTAGCAACACAAAGACGGACAGGCCCATGATGAGGAAGGCCAGCATCCCGCCCACCACGCCAGCTGCAATCACTGATAGGCCAGAGTTACTGAATGGGGAACAGATGGTAACCAATCAATGCAAAGAAAATACTTCATACAAATGATAAAATGTTAATTAGCTTAGTGAGCTTAGTGTTTCTACGTTTATGTTAAATTTGAACAGTATGTTTGTAAGTTACTGTTCATGACTAGAGTAATTTGCTTACCCTTTAGACTGACAGCCTTTCAGACCAGGACCAGTACATCTGTAAAGATATTAGCACATATATGAATAGATCTGCTGAATTTATTTGTATATCTTATTGTTTTGTTATTGTGTCTGTATTTGAGTATTTGTGAATTATTAATGTAAACTGCTCAAAAAAATAAAGGGAACACTTAAACAACACAATGTAACTCCAAGTCAATCACACTTCTGTGGTTTGGCAGGTGGTGGTTTGGCAGGTGGTGACCACAGACCACTTCTCAGTTCCTATGCTTCCTGGCTGATGTTTTGGTAACTTTTGAATGCTGGCGGTGCTTTCACTCTAGTGGTAGCATGAGACGGAGTCTACAACCCACACAAGTGGCTCAGGTAGTGCAGCTCATCCAGGATGGCACATCAATGCGAGCTGTGGCAAGAAGGTTTGCTGTGTCTGTCAGCGTAGTGTCCAGAGCATGGAGGCGCTACCAGGAGACAGGCCAGTACATCAGGAGACGTGGAGGAGGCCGTAGGAGGGCAACAACCCAGCAGCAGGACTGCTACCTCCGCCTTTGTGCAAGGAGGAGCAGGAGGAGCACTGCCAGAGCCCTGCAAAATGACCTCCAGCAGGCCACAAATGTGCATGTGTCTGCTCAAACGGTCAGAAACAGACTCCATGAGGGTGGTATGAGGGCCCGACGTCCACAGGTGGGGGTTGTGCTTACAGCCCAACACCGTGCAGGACGTTTGGTATTTGCCAGAGAACACCAAGATTGGCAAATTCGCCACTGGTGCCCTGTGCTCTTCACAGATGAAAGCAGGTTCACACTGAGCACATGTGACAGACGTGACAGAGTCTGGAGACGCCGTGGAGAACGTTCTGCTGCCTGCAACATCCTCCAGCATGACCGGTTTGGCGGTGGGTCAGTCATGGTGTGGGGTGGCATTTCTTTGGGGGGCCGCACAGCCCTCCATGTGCTCGCCAGAGGTAGCCTGACTGCCATTAGGTACCGAGATGAGATCCTCAGACCCCTTGTGAGACCATATGCTGGTGCGGTTGGCCCTAGGTTCCTCCTAATGCAAGACAATGCTAGACCTCATGTGGCTGGAGTGTGTCAGCAGTTCCTGCAAGAGGAAGGCATTGATGCTATGGACTGGCCCGCCCGTTCCCCAGACCTGAATCCAATTGAGCACATCTGGGACATCATGTCTTGCTCCATCCACCAACGCCACGTTGCACCACAGACTGTCCAGGAGTTGGCGGATGCTTTAGTCCAGGTCTGGGAGGAGATCCCTCAGGAGACCATCCGCCACCTCATCAGGAGCATGCCCAGGCGTTGTAGGGAGGTCATACAGGCACGTGGAGGCCACACACACTACTGAGCCTCAATTTGACTTGTTTTAAGGACATTACATAAAAGTTGGATCAGCCTGTAGTGTGGTTTTCCACTTTAATTTTGAGGGTGACTCCAAATCCAGACCTCCATGGGTTGATAGATTTGATTTCCATTGATAATTTTTGTGTGATTTTGTTGTCAGCACATTCAACTATGTAAAGAAAAAAGTATTTAATAAGATTATTTCATTCATTCAGATCTAGGATGTGTTATTTTAGTGTTCCCTTTATTTTTTTGAGCAGTGTATTTATGTGGTTGTGACAGATGCCCTTACTTACCCCTCGGTACAGTTCTGGTGGCACAGCTGGCACACCTTCATCTTATCTGCGTATTTCCAGATGAAGGTGTTCTTGCCCCCTGCCACCCCTGGCACCCCTCTAGGGCACAACGGGACACAGTTGTCGCCATCTTTGAAGTTGGCACACTGGGTACACTGCTCATGGCCCTGAAAGAGAGAGAAGAGGATAGCAACATTCTAAGGAAACAGCCCTACTGTGTTGAGACATAGAATATTGAACAGACACAACCACACAAGCACCCTGGGACTAAAAATTGTCAAAGACTCCAGCCACCCTAGTCATAGACTTTTCTCTCTGCTACCGCACGGCAAGCGGTACCGGAGCCGTGTCTAGGTCCAAGAGGCTTCCAAGAGGCTTCTAAATAGCTTCTACCCCCAAGCCATAAGACTCCTGAACATCTAATCAAATGGCTACCCAGACTATTTGCATTGACCCCCCCCCCCCCTACATAGTATATCATAGAGAGACACATACTGCTATATATTATATTATAGAGACACATACTGCTACATAGTATATTATAGAGACACATACTGCTACATAATATATTATAGAGACACATACTGCTACATAGTATATTATAGAGACACATACTGCTACATAATATATTACAGAGACACATACTGCTACATAGTATATTATAGAGACACATACTGCTACATAATATATTATAGAGACACATACTGCTACATAGTATATTATAGGGACACATACTGCTACATAATATATTATAGAGACACATACTGCTACATAGTATATTATAAAGACACATACTTCTACATAGTATATTACAGAGACACATACTGCTACATAGTACATTATAGAGACACATACTGCTACATAGTATATTATAGAGACACATACTGCTACATAATATATTATAGAGACACATACTGCTACATAGTGTATTATAGAGACACATACTGCTACATAATATATTATAGAGACACATACTGCTACATAATATATTATAGAGACACATACTGCTACATAGTATATTATAGAGACACATACTGCTACATAATATATTATAGAGACACATACTGCTACATAGTATATTATAGAGACACATACTGCTACATAGTATATTATAGAGACACATACTGCTACATAGTATATTATAGAGACACATACTGCTACATAATATATTATAGAGACACATACTGCTACATAGTATATTATAGAGACACATACTGCTACATAATATATTATAGAGACACATACTGCTACATAGTATATTATAGAGACACATACTGCTACATAGTATATTATAAAGACACATACTTCTACATAGTATATTACAGAGACACATACTGCTACATAGTACATTATAGAGACACATACTGCTACATAGTATATTATAGAGACACATACTGCTACATAGTATATTACAGAGATACATACTGCTACATATTATAGAGACACATACTGCTACATAGTATATTATAGAGACACATACTGCTACATAGTATACAGTGCCTTGCAAAAGTATTCACCCCCCTTGGCATTTTTCTTATTTTGTTGCATTACAACCTGTAATTTAAATGGATTTTTATTTGGATTTCATGTATTGGACATACACAAAATAGTCAAAATTGGTGAAGTGAAATTAAACAAATAACTTGTTTCCAAAAATTCTAAAAAATAAATAACGGAAAAGTGGTGCGTGCATATGTATTCACCCCCTTTGCTATGAAGCCCCTAAATACGATCTGGTGCAACCAATTACCTTCAGAAGTAACATAATTAGTTAAATAAAGTCCACCTGTGTGCAATCTAAGTGTCACATGATCTGTCACATGATCTCAGTATATATACACCTGTTCTGAAAGGCCCCAGAGTCTGCAACACCACTAAGCAAGGGGCACCACTAAGCAAGCGACACCATGAAGACCAAGGAGCTCTCCAACCAGGTCAGGGACAAAGTTGTGGAGAAGTACAGATCAGGGTTGGGTTTTTAAAAAATATCAGAAACTTTGAACATCCCACAGAGCACCATTAAATCCATTATAAAAAAATGGAAAGAATACGGCACCACAACAAACCTGCCAAGAGAGGGCCGCCCACCAAAACTCACAGACCAGGCAAGGAGGGCATTAATCAGAGAGGCAACAAAAATACCAAAGATAACCCTGAAGGAGCTGCAGAGCTCCACAGTGGAGATTGGAGTATCTGTCCATAGGACCACTTTAAGCCGTACACTCCACAGACCTGGGCTTTATGGAAGAGTGGCCAGAAAAAACCTATTGCTTAAAGAAAAAAATAAGCAAACACGTTTGGTGTTCGCCAAAAGGCATGTGGGAGACTCCCCAAACATATGGAAGAAGGTACTCTGGTCAGATGAGGCTAAAATTGAGCTTTTTGGGCATAAAGGAAAACGCTATGTCTGGCGCAAACCCAACACCTCTCATCACCCCGAAAACACCATCCCCACAGTGAGGCATGATGGTGGCAGCATCATGCTGTGGGGATGTTTTTCATTGGCAGGGACTGGGAAACTGGTCAGAATTGAAGGAATGATGGATGCCGCTAAATACAGGGAAATTCTTGAGGGAAACCTGTTTCAGTCTTCCAGAGATTTGAGACTTGGACGGAGGTTCACCTTCCAGAAGGACAATGACCCTAAGCATACTGCTAAAGCAACACTCGAGTGGTTTAAGGGGAAACATTTAAATGTCTTGGAATGGCCTAGTCAAACCCCAGACCTCAATCCAACTGAGAATCTGTGGTATGACTTAAAGATTGCTGTACACCAGGGGGACCCATCCAACTTGAAGGAGCTGGAGCAGTTTTGCCTTGAAGAATGGGCAATAATCCCAGTGGCTAGATGTGCCAAGCTTATAGAGACATACCCCAAGAGACTTGCAGCTGTAATTGCTGCAAAAGGTAGCTCTACAAAGTATTGACTTTGGGGGGGTGAATAGTTATGCACGCTCAAGTTTTCAGTTTTCTTGTCTTATTTCTTGTTTGTTTCAAAGTGGTAGGCATGTTTTGTAAATCAACTGATACAAACCCCCCAAAATAATTTTTTATTCCAGTTTGTAAGGCAACAAAATAGGAAAAATGCCAAGGGGGATGGATACTTTCGCAAGCCACTGTATTACAGAGACACATACTACTTCATAGTATATTATATCGACACATACTACTTCATAGTATATTATAGAGACACTTACTACTTCATAGTATATTATAGAGACACATACTACTTCATAGTATATTATAGAGACACATACTGTACTTAGGACGTAGCATATATAAGAGGCACACATACTGGTCCAGAGCAGGACTGGGTTCCGTTGAGGAGCTGACACTCAAGGTGACACTCCACACACGTCTTATTCACTTCAGTCTCACGTGGCTCCCTGCAACAATTAGGACACATGTTAGCATGTAGCATATTTTCACTAGCCTGGTCCCAGATCTGTTGGTGCCGTCTTGCCAACTCCTCTAGTCGTTGTCCCATAGGAGTTGGTAAGACAGCACAAACAGATCTGGGACCAGGCTATATTTCTATTGGTTTAACATTTAATTTCAGATGGTTGCATTTGCAGTGAAATACTTGATCCTGTTCCTCATAGCAGTAGTTAAGGCACTGCATCGCAGTGCTAACTGTCCCACTAGAGATCCTGGTTCGAATCCAGGCTCTGTCGCAGCCGGCCGCGACCGGGAGACTCATGGGCGGCGCACAATTGGCCCAGCGTCGTCCAGGGTAGGGGAGGGAATGGCCGGCAGGGATGTAGCTCAGTTGATAGAGCATGGCGTTTGCAACGCCAGGGTTGTGGGTTCGTTTCCCAGGGGGGGGCCAGTATAAAAATATATATATATATATATATATATGTATTCACTAACTGTAAGTCGCTCTGGATAAGAGCGTCTGCTAAATGACTAAAATGTAAATGTAAATGTTAAATTGTAAGCAAGTTTGATACTCAATGTTTGATAGAGGAGAGGACTGCCAAAGTTAAACAGCTATTAGTTCATTGAGTTCATTACCAAAAGTGAACAATTCTACTGTATAGTACTGTCTTACTGCCTTCCTTAGATGTACTGTCTGTTTTTACTGTTAAATTCCATGCAACATCGTTTCTTGCTAAATACACGTTTAATTGATAGCTTCAGTTACCAACAGTTTTTCTTTGCCAAGTGTACAAAAAGTTACTTTCACTCTTCTTCAATACTTCAGCTGCAGAATCACATTACAATGGCTCCTATCTCACCCCTCCAGTAGGTTTCAATGGCTCCTATCTCACCCCTCCAGTAGGTTTCAATGGCTCCTATCTCACCCCTCCAGTAGGTTAAAATGGGGAACAGAAAGGGGCTCCTATCTCACCCCTCCAGTAGGTTACAATGGGGAACAGAAAGGGGCTCCTATCTCACCCCTCCAGTAGGCTACAATGGGGAACAGAAAGGGGCTCCTATCTCACCCCTCCAGTAGGTTACAATGGGGAACAGAAAGGGGCTCCTATCTCACCCCTCCAGTAGGTTAAAATGGGGAACAGAAAGGGGCTCCTATCTCACCCCTCCAGTAGGTTACAATGGGGAACAGAAAGGGGCTCCTATCTCACCCCTCCAGTAGGCTACAATGGGGAACAGAAAGGGGCTCCTATCTCACCCCTCCAGTAGGTTAAAATGGGGAACAGAAAGGGGCTCCTATCTCACCCCTCCAGTAGGTAAAAATGGGGAACAGAAAGGGGCTCCTATCTCACCCCTCCAGTAGGTTAAAATGGGGAACAGAAAGGGGCTCCTATCTCACTCCTTCAGTAGGTTACAATGGGGAACAGAAAGGGGCTCCTATCTCACCCCTTCAGTAGGTTACAATGGGAAACAGAAAGGGGCTCCTATCTCACCCCTCCAGTAGGTTGCAGGAGTCCACACAGCTTCCTGCTCGGCTGTAGTCCTGACAGGCGAAACACATGGTGGGTCCAGCGCCCCAGCAGCCATATCTGGTACACATCCTGTCACACGTGTTGTTCTGCATCCCTGCAAACACACACATACAGACACATACTGTAGATAGGCCCAAGAAATTGTCAAAGACTCCAGTCACCCAAGTCATAGACTGTTCTCTCTGCTACCGCACAGCAAGCGGTACCGGAGCGCCAAATCTAGGTCCAAAAGGCTCCTTAACAGCTTCTATCCCCAAGCCATAAGACTGCTGAACAATTAATCAAATGGCCACCCGGACTAATTACATTGACCCCCCCCCCCCTTTTAATTTTACACTGCTGCTACTCGCTGTTTATTATCTATGCATAGTCACTTTACCCCTACCTACATGTACAGTGAGGGAAGAAAAGTATTTGATAACACACTACGCCGTGAAGGACTGAAATTCTGCAGCGCCCGCAAGGTCCCCCTGCTCAAGAAAGCACATATACAGGCCTGTCTGAAGTTCGCCAATGAACATCTGAATGATTCAGAGGAGAACTGGGTGAAAGTGTTGTGGTCAGATGAGACCAAAATCGAGCTCTTTGCCATCAACTCAACTCGCCGTGTTTGGAGGAGGAGGAATGCTGCCTATGACCCCAAGAACACCATCCCCACCGTCAAACATGGAGGTAGAAACATTATGCTTTGGGGGTGTTTTTCTGCTAAGGGGACAGGACAACTTCACCGCATCAAAGGGACGATGGACGGGGCCATGTACCGTCAAATCTTGGGTGAGAACCTCCTTCCCTCAGCAAGGGCATTGAAAATGGGTCGTGGATGGGTATTCCAGCATGACAATGACCCAAAACACACGGCCAAGGCAACAAAGGAGTGGCTCAAGAAGAAGCACATTAAGGTCCTGGAGTGGCCTAGCCAGTCTCCAGATCTTAATCCCATAGAAAATCTGTGGAGGGAGCTGAAGGTTCGAGTTGCCAAACGTCAGCCTCGAAACCTTAATGACTTGGAGAAGATCTGCAAAGAGGAGTGGGACAAAATCCCTCCTGAGATGTGTGCAAACCTGGTGGCCAACTACAAGAAACATCTGACCTCTGTGATTGCCAACAAGGGTTTTGCCACCAAGTACTAAGTCATGTTTTGCAGAGGGGTCAAATACTTATTTCCCTCATTAAAATGCAAATCAATTTATAACATTTTTGACATGAATTTATCTGGATTTTGTTGTTGTTATTCTGTCTCTTATCTGTTACCAATTGTTTTCTTGGTGACTATGGTCCCAGCTGCCTTGAGATCATTGACAAGATCCTCCCGTGTAGTTCTGGGCTGATTCCTCACCGTTCTCATGATCATTGCAACTCCACGAGGTGAGATCTTGCATGGAGCCCCAGGCCAAGGGAGATTGACAGTTATTTTGTGTTTCTTCCATTTGCGAATAATACTTCTGTGGACAGGTGTCTTTTATACAGGTAACAAGCTGAGATTAGGAGCACTCCCTTTAAGAGTGTGCTCCTAATCTCAGCTCGTTACCTGTATAAAAGACACCTGGGAGCCAGAAATCTTTCTGATTGAGAGGGGGTCAAATACTTATTACCCTCATTAAAATGCAAATCAATTTATAACATTTTTGACATGCGTTTTTCTGGATTTTTTTGTTGTTATTCTGTCTCTCACTGTTCAAATAAACCTACCATTAAAATTATAGACTGATCATGTCTTTGTCAGTGGGCAAACGTACAAAATCAGCAGGGGATCAAATACTTTTTTCCCTCACTGTACATATTACCTTGACTAACCTGTAATCCCCACATTGACTCAGTACCGGTACCCCCTGTATACTACTCTACTACTCTACTGTATCTTAGTCCATGCCGCTCTAACATCGCTTGTCCATATATGTATATATTCTTAATTAATTCCTTACTTAGATTTGTGTGTATTGGGTATATGCTGTGAAACTGTTAGATATTACTTGTTAGATATTACTGCACTGTCAGAGCTAGAAGCACAAGCATTTCGCTACACCCACAATAGCATCGGCTAAACACGTGTATGTGACCAATAACATTTGATTTGATTTGATTTGATATAGCCTCAGTATTGTTATTATTCTATTGTGTTACTTTTTATTTCATTTTTTACTTTTGTTTATTTAGTAAATATTTTATTAACTCTATTTCTTGAACTGCATTGTTGGTTAAGGGCTTGTAAGTAAGCATTTCACGATAAGGTTTATACCTGTTGTATTCGGCGCATGTGACAAATAGAATATGATTTGATTTGATATCAATACAAAATAATAGTTTTAACCCAGACCAATATAAAACTTTTCGCTTTTCACACAACACCGTACAAGCAACAGGCTAGCGTTAATTTCCTCTTTCTCCCACAATACTCCATCATCATTGTATTATGTATCTATCACAGTTTTATGACCACAACAATAGAGGGTAAATATTAATCTCGGAACCACTCATATCCCAGTGTAACCTTTGTTTTAGTAAGCACCGAACATCATGTTATCTCTAATTTGTCATGGGCTTGAGCTGACATTATGGTGTTGACTCCTGGTGTTTGTTGTATATCTCCTGTTTGTTGGTGTTCCTTTTTTTCTGTTATGTGACCACAAAAATCTATAAAGATGTTCATCATAAAAAAAAGACTGATTGATTTACCGCATACGGCTGCGTCGGCGTTGTTCTCCAGCCGAGCGGTCTGCGTGTCGGACTTGAACAGATGTTTCCAGTGGTGATTCTTGGTGTAGCAGAGGTTGGGGTTTTTTGCGATGACCACGTCTCCGTCACTGATCTCCTTCAGGTTGCGCAGGCCCAGGTGGGTGATGGTTAACTGGGTTACGGCCAAGCTCACCAGAACACTGAGAACAGAGAGAGGGGAGGGGAAATGGCGAGAAAGAGAGAGAGAGGAGTTAAAGGGATATTGGATGAGTCACATCCATTTACTGTCAGTGGCACCCTGTAGTAGAGGCTGAGGTTTAGAGAGTTAGGCCAGGGACAGTACTCTTACCGCTTGGTCCGTCCACGGATGATCTCCAGGTTCTCAAAGGGACTGAGGGACGTCATGTCCTCAGGCCAGTTCTGAATCAGCAAGTACCCTGGAAGATGAATAGATTTGTTTTAATAATTGTGAAAAGTGCTCTTTTGTCTGATCTGAACTGCCATGGCTCTTTTCTTACCGGTAATTTCTCTGACCGTCTTGAAAACGTCTAGCTTGGCCGGATCCATCTTAGGTGTTTTGGTGAATGTGTCCCTGTGAATAGTAATAACAACTGTGACATGTATCTGTCATATTCATGAAATGCACAATACAAAGGTTATAAATTATCTATGATGTTTCTACAATTTCAAAAAACCTTAATGCGCTCACTACTTACCCATGGATAGACGTGTAGATAATAGCAATGTTCCCATTGATTTTGGTACAGTTTTTGAATGTGTCAATGTTGGTGGCATTAATGGACAGAATATTGGTAAGTTTCCCCATTCCAAGTCCATTGCAAACTGTGAAAATTAGTAACATATTAATAAAAAGAAACGTGGCTACTAATGTCTTGCCACACGGAAAAGTTAGTTTGAGATATCACAAGCCCCCCCAAAAAACAGAAGACTAGTGCAGTACAGCAGGTTAAAATACATTTTTATTCAAGAAGTATCATTCAAAAATCTGAAAATCCTTTATTGGAAATAAAATGGTATTGAACACAACCCTACAGTGCATCTTTGGGGAATAACACTGTGGGGTGAACTTTCCATGTTACAGAGAGGCACATTCATGCAGTATTATCATGAGTGCTATAATCCCTGCCATCAGAATGTACAGTAGGAGTTGTGGTAGTATCAACTCTACCTTTGGGACACAGTCCATCACACTTCTTGCACTTCCTGACCCCTCCCTCGTCCACCTCGTATGTGTCACCACTGCACGTCCGAACGCACGCTCCATGGTCCGTCACCACATAGTTATCTGAGGGGAAAAAAACATAAAATATGATTATACTCTAAGAGTACACAATCAGCACTCATTAATCATATAAATCTGGTTCTAATATCAAGTCAAATATTGTATTTCTTTTTTTTATCTACCAAGTTGTCATTTTCTTCAAAGGAATAAAAATAAGAGAATATACAGTTGAAGTCGGAAGTTTACATACACTTAGGTGGGAGTCATTAAAACTTGTTTTTCAACCACTCCACACATTTCTTGTTAACAAACTATAGTTTTGGCAAGTCGGTTAGGACATCTACTTTGTGCATGACACAAGTAATTTTTCCAACAATTGTTTACAGACAGATTATTTCACTTATAATTCACTGTATCACAATTCCAGTGGGTCAGAAGTTTACATACAATCAGTTGACTGTGCCTTTAAACAGCTTGGAAAATTTCAGAAAATGACGTCATGGCTTTAGAAGGTTCTGATAGGCTAATTGACATCATTTGAGTCAATTGGAGCTGTACCTGAGGATGTATTTCAAGGCCTACCTTCAAACTCAGTGCCTCTTTGCTTGACATCATGGGAAAATCAAAAGAAATCAGCCAAGACCTCATAAAAAACATTGTTGACCTCCACAAGTCTGGTTCATCCTTGGGAGCAATTTCCAAACGCCTGAAGGTACCACGTTCATCTGTACAAACAATAGTATGCAAGTATAAACACCATGGGACCACGCAGCCGTCATACTGCTCAGGAAGGAGACGTGTTCTGTCTCCTAGAGATGAATGTACTTTGGTGCGAAAAGTGCAAATCAATCCCAGAACAACAGCAAAGGACCTTGTGAAGATGCTGGAGGAAACAGGTACAAAAGTATCTATATCCACAGTAAAACGAGTCCTATATCGACATAACCTGAAAGGACGCTCAGCAAAGAAGAAGCCACTGCTCCAAAACCGCCATAAAAAAGCCTGACTACAGTTTGCAACTGCACATGGGGACAAAGATCTTACTTTTTGGAGAAATGTCCTCTGGACTGATGAAACAAAAATAGAACTGTTTGGCCATAATGACCATCGTTATGTTTGGAGGAAAAAGGGGGTGCTTGCAAGCCGAAGAACACCATCCCAACCGTGAAGCACGGGGGTTGCAGCATCATGCTGTGGGGGTGCTTTGCTGCAGGAGGGACTGGTCCACTTCACAAAATAGATGGCATCATGAGGAAGGAAAACTATGTGGATATATTGAAGCAACATCTCAAGACATCAGTCAGGAAGTTAAAGCTTGGTCGCAAAGGGTCCTCCAAATGGACAATGACCCCAAGCATACTTCCAAAGTTGTGGCAAAATGGCTTAAGGACAACAAAGTCAAGGTATTGGAGTGGCCATCACAAAGCCCTGACCTCAATCCTATAGAACATTTGTGGGCAGAACTTAAAAAGCGTGTGCAAGCAAGGAGGCCTACAAACCTGACTCAGTTACACCAGCTCTGTCAGAAGAAATGGGCCAAAATTCACCCAACTTATTGTGGGAAGCTTGTGGAAGGCTACCCGAACCGTTTGACCCAAGTTAAACAATTTAAAGGCAATGCTACCAAATACTAATTGAGTGTATGTAAACTTCTGACCCACTGGGAATGTGATGAAAGAAATAAAAGCTGAAATAAAACATTCTCTCTACTATTATTCTGACATTTCCCATTCTTAAAATAAAGTGGTGATCCTAACTGACCTAAGACAGGGAATTTTTACTAGGATTAAATGTCAGGAGTAGTGAAAAACTGAGTTTAAATGTATTTAGCTAAGGTATATGTAAACTTCCAACTGTATAATAAACCTATATAATGCATTGTGTCCTGTGCAGGACAGTATTGTATGCATGCCAGTGTTTCAGAGCTGATTCTAACAAAAAGTGGAAGCTGCTGCATTAAAACACCCTGAAACTAAATCATTTTCATTTCCTCGTTAATGCAGTTTATGATTAAACTCAGAGTCTGTCACAGACTGACTGACACTAACACCAGGCTAGAGGGACCATGTGGCCCCTTGTTCAGCATACCAGCATACCATTTCTGAACGTTTCACATCACTGAGACTCCTCTGTAGACTTGGTTGAAGCCCCCTCTGTGTACAAATCTTCTAAACCAGGGCTGCCCAATTCTGGTCCTTATTTTGTGTGTGATTGTAAAATAATCAGTTCAAGGAGATACAGTTGGTGTATTTGAAGCAATTATTCGTATCATGATTGTCTTCTAATATTTTATTTATTTACACGAAGATTGACCACGAATATTTCCAATTTTCCATTCACTATAATGGGGGATCCTGTTTTCTGCTAACAATGCCTGCTGTACCGCGGTCAGCCTTGAACCTCCGTGGCTTCAATGAGATGGGGGAGTCGTTTTCCCCTGGTCCCAGGTCTGAATTAGTCCCTGATTAGGAGAGGATGAAAACCACAAGTGTTTGGGCCCTCCATGACCAGGATGGGGCAGCCACGTTCTAAACAATCCTTATATAATTTATTATATACTGTTGCCTCATAGAGGAGGTCATGGGGGGACATGGAGGGGACATGGAGGGACATGGAGGGGACATGGAGGGACACAGAAGGGACATGGAGGGACACAGAAGGGACATGGAGGGACATGTAGGGGACACGGAGGAGTCATGGAGCGGCACGGAGGGGACACGGTGGGACACCGAAGGGACATGGAGGGGACACGGAGGGACATGGATGGACATGGGGGTTTTCTTACGAGGGCAGGTCTTGACGCAGGTGGCTCCGAAGTTGTACTTTCCGTCTGGGTTGTTGACCAGTTGATGAAGGTTGCGGTCGTAGAGCAGGAGGCGGGGACACGAGTCTTTACACATCCCATCATCCTGAAAGTCCCGGCAAGCCTACGACATCAAACAGGGTTGTGTTCATTAGGCACCAAACAGAAGAAAACAGACTGAAACCGGGAGGGACAACCTGAACCTGAAACGCTTGTTTTCACTTTCCATTGCAAGATGTTTTAAATGTCCTAATCACAGTGCTTGACTTGGACAAATAGGTTTGGGTACTCATTTTGGGTGCCGGCACTGTTAATATTTAGGTGCAGGAGCTCCTCAATCCTCTTGAGCTAATCTTCTATAAGAGGAACAGGAGCTCAAGCAGTAGAACATTTGAGGTGCCGGTACTCAGCTCCGGTGAGCTCCTGCCCAAGTCAAGCACTGCCTAATCATGAATACGACCCAGCCTTCACTGACAGAGAGCACTAGGACCATATAACAGAGCTGTATACTCAGATCATAACACTGCATTTCTATTTCACGCCTTAGCTTAGCTTAGCCAGAGAGGAATATGTGACGCTGGCTTAGCTCCCAGCTGGGGGCCAAGCCTGATTCTCAAGGCACTGTCAAAAAGCAGGGTTTAACCAGTGATAGAATGGGTCACTGGATGCAAGAGCAACACAATGTGGTTTCAATCATAAAGTGGATAGAAAACACTGTTACGGGTCAGTGTATGGTTGGTCATGAGCCAGTAAGTCACAAGGGAGCCTCATAAGAGATAAATAATAATGTGTGAAATGCAATGTGGGTCTGTTTCCTCAAACCCTTAACTCTTGAGTGATGACACTTTTATTGGGTGAAGAAATAACTAGAAATAATACATAATAGCTTATGTGAGAGATGCAAGTGTCCTCCCTTATGGAGTCACTCCTGGCCTCTCTCCCTATAACCTCTGACCCAAGTACAATGTGAAGGTGGCTTCAGAAGGTGGTAAAATCACATGACATGGTGAGGTAATAATCCTGACCCCAGTACAGTGTGTGAAGGTGGTGTATCTGTCTGTATGTCTGTCAGTCTGTCAGTCTCTCACCAGATGATCTAGGTCTGGGTCCAGTACAGTGTTAAGGTGGGTTATGGTTATGGTTAGGGTTATGGTTAGGGTCTCTCACCAGACAGTCTGTAGGTCTGGGTCCAGTGCAGCCTGCAGCACAGTGTTCGTTGCAGCAGTCGATGGGGGACGGACCCTTACATCTCTTAGAGCACTGCTGGGCACAGTTCAGCTTCGTCACTATAAAGAGAGGAAATGTCAAATCAAATTTTATTAATCACATGCTTCGTAAACAACAAGTGTAGACTAACAGTGAAATGCTGACTTACGGCCCTTCCCAACAATGCAGGGAGAAAGAAAATAGAGAAACAATAGAAAAGTAAAACACATAATAATACTGTAAAAGTAATAATAAATACACAATGAGAAATTATAACTTGGCTATATACATGGTGTACCAGTACCGAGTCGATGTGCAGGAGTAAGAGGTAACTGAGGTAAATATGTACATATACAATAACTAGGAAAGAAGTAACTAGGCAACAGGATAGATAATAAACAGTAGCAGCAGCATATGTGATTGGTCAAAAAAGATAGTGCAAAAAGGGTCAATGCAGATAGTTGGCAGGGTAGCCTAGCGGTTAACAGCGTTGGGCCAGTAACTGAAAGGTTGCTGGTTTGAATCCCCGAGCCAACTAGGTGAAAAGTCTGTCAATTTGCCCTTGAGCAAGGCACTTAACCCTAATTGCTCCTGTAAGTCACTCTGGATAAGAGCGTCTGCTAAACAACTCAAACGTAAAATAGTCCGGGTAGGTATTTAACTAACTATTTTGGGGTTAGAAGCTGTTCAGGATTCTGTTGGTTCCAGAGTTGGTGCATCGGTTCCGCTTGCCGTGCGGTAGCAGAGAGAACAGTCTATGACTTGGGTGGTTGGAGTCTGAACATTTTTAGGGCCTTCCTCTGACACCCGCCTGGTATAGAGGTCCTGGATGGCAGGGAGCCCGGCCCCAGTGATGTAATGGACCGTACGCACTACCCTCTGTAGCACCTTGCAGTTGAGTATGGTTTAAACTTGAAAGACTTACATGTCTGGCAGTGTTCTGGGCCGGGCGCCCAACATGAACCATTGAAGCATCCAGGATCACATCTTTTACCTACAAAACATAGATCCAAATAAAAGTTTAGCAAAGCTTAACTTCAAAACTGTTACTTTAATGTTTAATCAAATAAAGTTGGAATATTTGACAGTTGAAGGTGAAACATTACTAAACTGTTGGCTAAACTTGTTGAAGCAGCTTCCTGTTAATATCTTACAACATGAACCAATCTAGCTTCAAGGGTGTATAAAAACACAAAACTTTGAATGGGATTATGGTATGTACATTTATATGATGCAATGTTTAATGTGTTGTAACAGGAGCTCCTTACAGAGCCGATTGCTGCTGGGTTCAGGTAACTGCATGTTGGGTTTGCTGTTACTGTTTACAATGTCCAACCACTGGATGGTCTCCACGTTACACAGCTGGTTGTCTGAGAACTTCACTCCTCCTTTCAAGATCTCTGGAAAATGGAGAGAGATGTGTTTATTTTCAGGTGGAAGCTAAATATTGGTTTAAATTAATCAATGTAATAAAGCTGTGCAGATGAAATACAACAAACTACTGAATCTCCAGATTCAGATGCAACCCTAACCTCAACCCTACCCTCATTCCTAATCTCAGCTTCATAACCCTAACTTCAACTCTAACCTCAGCTTCATGACCTCATCCTGGTTCAACCTTAACCCTCAACTCTAACCTCAGCTTCATGACCTCATCCTGGTTCAACCTTAACCCTCAACCCTAACCTCAGCTTCATGTCACATCCTGGTTCAACTCTAACCCTAACCCTAGCCTCAACCCTAAACATAGCTTCATGTCCACATCCTGGTTCAACCCTAACCCTAACCCTAGCCTCAACCCTAACCCTAGATTCCTGGTTCAACCCTAACTGTAGCCTTAACCATAACCCTAGCTTCGTGTCCACATCCTGGTTCAACTCTAACCCTAACCCTAGCCTCAACCCTAACCCTAGATTCCTGGTTCAACCCTAACTGTAGCCTTAACCATAACCCTAGCTTCGTGTCCACATCCTGGTTCAACCCTAACCCTAGCCTCAACCCTAAACATAGCTTCATGTCCACATCCTGGTTCAATTCTAACCCTAACCCTAGCCTCAACCCTAACCCTAGATTCCTGGTTCAACCCTAACTGTAGCCTTAACCATAACCCTAGCTTCGTGTCCACATCCTGGTTCAACCCTAACCCTAGCCTCAACCCTAACCCTAGATTCCTGGTTCAACCCTAACTATAGCCTTAACCATAACCCTAGCTTCGTGTCCCTAACTGTAGCCTTAACCATAACCCTAGCTTCGTGTCCACATCCTGGTTCAACCCTAACCTTAGCCTTAACCATAACTCTAGCTTCGTGTCCACATCCCGGGTTAACCCTAATCCTAACTCTAACCATAGCTTATAGCTTATAACTAGGGCTCAGTTTCCCTGGTTTGGCTCTAGTATGTGAGAAGGCCCTCAGTGACTAGTCATTATGAGGCTGGGTTTACAACTGCCTGGGCAGAGCAGGGACAGGCCTAGAGACTGACCTGTGAGGCTGGTCAGAGGCAGCTCAGTGGTGCCTTCTCCCATGGACTTGTTATAGTTCAGCATCACAGCCAGGGCAAAGCCACTGTCGTAGAGAGTGTGGCCTCGGATGATGCGCAGGTTGTCCAGGGGAATCCTATTGGCTGTGTTGAGGGCGATCAGAACGTAGCCACCCACCTCCTGGATGGACTGGAGACAAACAAGGAAAGGTTTGGTATAAGCTGGTCTTCACACGCGATGCCAGGGGTGAACAACTCCAGACCTACATGGTCCAGCTCCAGTCCTGCTGGTTTTCGCATCAGCCTGTCTATATCCTCATAGCTAGACAAGGTTCACACAAGGGTACTTCCAGTAACCCACTGATCCTATTCAGCATTATAAACTCAACCTAAGACTATTTCAACTGAAGCAACAAGGCTCTAATGAGGCTTCAAGTGTTTTGGACACTTTGGACCATGTCTGTAGGTTAAAGCAAGCTTATTAGATGTTTTTAGGAGCTGTTATGTTTTTATCCAGTATTGCTTTCTCCAGACAAAGGTGTTCCTGACCTGTAGCCTGGTCTCTCCTATGGTCATTGTCCATAGGACTTGGCAAGACAGCACAAACAGATCTGGGACCAGGCTAGCATTCCTTTATCTTACCCTGAGGAAAGACAGATCATGGTAGTCCTCCATGTATGTGACCTCCAGGTTCTCCAGGACCACGGTGCAGTTGCTGTAGGTCTTGACCATGTTCAGGTAGTGGTCCTCTTTTGACCCCAGCAGGTTGAACCGGTTGGTGACGCCCTGGCACACTGTGGAGGAAGAGTGAGGAGATGATGATCCAGGAAAGTAGAAGAGAGAACATCAGAGCGTAAACTTGAAGTTGGTGAGCTGGCCAGAGCAAATATGGCTGTTCTCAAAAAACTGCTGCCTTGATCTACACTGAGTGTACAAAACACCTGCTCTTTCCATGACATAGACTGACCAGGTGAAAGCTATGATCCCTTATTGATGTCACTTGTTAAATCCACTTCAATCAGTGTATATGAAGGAGAGAAGACAGGTTAAAGAAGGATTTTGAAGCCTTGAGACAATTGAGACATGGATTGTGTATGTGTGCCATTCAGAGGCAGAATGGGAAAGACAAAATATTTAAGTGCCTTTGAACGGGGAATGGTAGTAGGTGCCAGGCGCTCCGGTTTGAGTGTGTCAAGAACTGCAACGCTGCTGGGTTTTTCACGCTCAACAGTTTTCCGTGTGTATCAAGAATGGTCCACCACCCAAAGGACATCCAGCCAACTTGACACAACTGTGGGAAGCATTATAGTCAACATGGGCCAGCATCCCTGTGGAATGCTTTTGACACCTTGTAGAGTCCATGCCCCAACAATTTGAGTCTGTTCTGAGGGCAAAAGGGGTGCAACTCAATATTAGGAAGGTGTTCCTAATGTTTTGTACACTCAGTGTAGACAGGAAATATCTAAGCTACCAAGCCCAGTTACATGGATCATGCAGTCTCTGTTCAAATTCATATTGGCATACCCAAGACAACAAAGGACACCACTCTCTGTTTCCCTTTGGCTTCTCTTCACATAGGTATCACAGTTGTTTAGTATATTTGTTTGTAAGTGTGCACAGTCATCATTTGGCTCATTCAGATGCATTAAATAACTGATCTGGATTCAATCTAGAATGAGAACTCGATACCTACAATGCTAGTGCTTACTCATGAGTCGCAGTGAGCTCTGAGCTGGCTGGCCGTATTTATCTTGGCTGAGACTCTTTCCACTGCTCTTCAGGCTAGTTAAAACAAACACCTACCGACTCTGCGCCATGTCATCTTTGTGTAGAAATGTTGGAGTTATTATTCACACACACATTATTCATGGGGGCTATTATCTATTCCACTCATCTCCCTGTCACTAGGAGGAATAATGGCAGCATTAACGTTATCGGTCCACGAATACTGCATCTTCTGAAGTTTATGAACAGACAGGTTTTCGAGTTAGATAACGAGGATTATTTAAGGATTTCCTAGAAATTATAGCCGGAGCCATTTTGAGTGATAACTCCCAATCTTGGCACGAATCAACAAACCTCTAAGGATCTTCCAAGTGTTGATGATGTATGTATGTAACAACAACTATAGAGCCATTGAGCGAGCCAGTAAAACAAACGCCTACGATCAAATCACATTTTATTTGTCACATGCGCCGAATACAACAGGTGTAGACCTTACAGTGAAATGCTTACTTACAAGCCCTTAACCAACAATGCAGTTTTAAGAAAAATAAGTTTTAAGTAAAAAATAGATAACAAAAAAATTAAAATAACAAATAATAATTAAAGAGCAGCAGTAAAATAACAGTAGGGAGGCTATATACAGGGGGTACCGGTACAGAGTCAATGTGCGGGGGCACAGGTTAGTCGAGGTAATTGAGGTAATATGTACATGTAGTTAGAGGGGGACAATGCAAATAGTCTGGGTAGCCATTTGATTAGATGTCCAGGAGTCTTATGGCTTGGGGGTAGAAGCTGTTAAGAAGCCTCTTGGACCTAGACTTGGTGCTCCGGTACCGATTGCCGTGCAGTAGCAGAGAGAACAGTCTATGACAATAGTCTGGGTAGCCATTTGATTAGATGTCCAGGAGTCTTATGGCTTGGGGGTAGAAGCTGTTAAGAAGCCTCTTGGACCTAGACTTGGTGCTCCGGTACCGCTTGCCGTGCAGTAGCAGAGAGAACAGTCTATGACAATAGTCTGGGTAGCCATTTGATTAGATGTTCAGGAGTCTTATGGCTTGGGGGTAGAAGCTGTTAAGAAGCCTCTTGGACCTAGACTTGGTGCTCCGGTACCGCTTGCCGTGCAGTAGCAGAGAGAACAGTCTATGACTAGGGTGGCTGGAGTCTTTGACAATTTTTAGGGCCTTCCTCTGACACCACCTGGTATAGAGGTCCTGGATGGCAGGAAGCTTGGCCCCAGTGATGTACTGGGCCGTACGCACTACCCTCTGTAGTGCCTTAATGTGAAAAATTACTATTTTATGAATATCACTAGCTGCAACAGAATAGCATCGTGGATAACATTTTTATGTCTCTGCGTCCAGTATGAAGGAAGTTAGAGGTAGTTTCACAAGCCAATGCTAACTAGCGTTAGTGCAATGACTGGAAGTCCACAGGAACAGTTAGCAAGCTAGCTGTTCCTGTTCATCCGACTCTGGGGAAGTAGATCAATGGCTTCATGGCCAAAATCTCTAACTATCCCTTTAATATGGAAGAAATTACAGTCATTGGAGCTAATTACAGGGGTTTTTTCTGTATAGAAAATTCTTAGGCGGGATGGAAAAACAGTTTCAGTGTCAACTTAAAAGACCAAAACCAGATAGAGAAGAGAAGATATTGAACAATATATATATTTTTTATAATACAATCTTTGAGAACTAACAATCAAATAAAAGCTAGACAATCAGGGAGAATCGAAACATTTTAATGTGTAGAATTGCAGAAAATTAGCTTTACAACAGCAACATTTTCTCTACACCGCCAAGATACCTTTCTAGCTAATAGACTATGTTAGAGTTTACACTTCCTCTTCCAATGAACAGTTGGATGGTCAAAATAATTAAAATATATCTACAAAATCTATTCATTTTTAAAATGTTGATTACTTCTTCTTGCCATTATCATTCACCTGATAAGACGAGACGTGATTATTTTCTGGGGAAGAAAAGATTGAAAACCCCTGCTCTAATCTACGATTACAAAAACGTGTTTGAATAAGTCAATGCAGTGAGACACTATTGAAGATACAGAGGAAGACAAGAGGATCCTTTACAGAGTAGTAGAGGCTGACTGAGGAGACCTGGAGGAAACAGGTCACTTTACTGACTTCCTGTTCAGTATGTCTGTCCCTTGAGCTGGTCTGACAGGTTGTTGTGACTGACACTGTGATACTGTGAAGCAGGGGCACATCAAATCAAATTGTATTTGTCACATGCTTCGTAAAGAACAGGTGTAGACTAACAGAATGCTTACTTATGGGTCCTTTTCCAACAATGCAGAATTAAAGATAAAGAAGATTTTTTTCAAATAGAAATTGTGACATGAAGAATAAATACACAGTGAATAATGAATAACAATAAAGAGTAAAAATAACATGGCTATATACAGGGAGTACCAGTACCGAGTCGATGTACAGGGGTACGAGGAACTTGAGGTAGCTATGTATTGTAGGGGTAAAGTCACTAGGCAACAGGAAAGATGCATGACGTCTGGTTTCCCAAGAACCATCCATCACACACTAAAGACCACAGACAGAAAGGGATCGTATATAAGCACAGTAAAGAGTTAAATGTGTGAACAAATTCTATTTACTTTCACTGTAACAAAGTAGCTTGGGCTCGAACCAGGGATCTTCTGCACAACAACTAGTCTCTCACGGACAGACGAAACATAGAGATTTGGTTCTGCATTGCTGAGATTACACAACACTCACTAAAGCAGCCTTCTACCAAATCACTCTGCCAAACTATGGTCTTGGTTGAGCAAGAGTGACACTGCCTCACTTTACATTCTGGTGATTTTGTCCCTGGTGTCAGAGTAAGCGCTTTGGGACAAACAGGGGATTTCTCTTCCTCCTATTTCAGTCGGTCTTGTTGTTGTATTATTCCTAGGAATACAGTACATTCCTAAACATGCCTGGTCTAGACAGCAAAGCCAGAACAGCTCCACAACTCAAGCAGTTGCCTCAGCATAAAACAAACCTTTTGCTGTCGTACACTGACCTTTTCATTTCCAAGAATGGAGGAAATAAACATGTCACCAGGATTATTTTCCTATCAAAGGTTGTCCTCTTTCAAAGTTCTTTTTTTTATGGCATTTTTTTTTTGTGGTCTTTGTTCTTCTATTGAACAATAAAACAAAATAAGTGATGAAATCAATTTAAAAAATAAGTGAAAGTAGATTCCTATACCATAGCTGTAAAGACTGACAATTTTTTTGGGAATGATGCCATTGAACTTGATAATGAAACTGGCAACACAAATGTCAAAGTACAATCAAATCTGTTTATTTATGGTACACTTCAATTGTCTGTTATTGCTCCCACTCATGATCAGTTGAGATGGGCTAGCCAGGTCCCAGATCTGTTTATGCTTTTTTTTTCAATTAATCTGGTAATTGTCTCACTAAAAAAATAAGAGCTGGCAAGACAGCACAAACAGATCTTGGACCAGGATAGAGATGGGCCCAATCAGAGAGAGCGTATAGGACATGAACAGCTGTGTTCTTCTGTGAAGACATTAAGTTCTTGTCCTCATTAACATGTCCCTGAGGGGACACCCTGACATGAACCCTTACCATCCAAACCACTGGCCTGACTAAGGATGCCACCCAAATGGCACCCTATTCCCTTTATAGTGCACTAATATGGTCAAAAGTAGGGCACTAAATACAGGGAATAGAGTGTTATTTGGGACACAACTTAATTAACGCCGTGACACCGTGGCAACAGAGGCAGATTTAGGATGTTACTGCAGCAAGCTGCCTCTTCTTTTATAATTAGGAGAGGCATGATGT